GACACAAGACGAGGCACGGCTCATTTTCTCCCGGTCTCACTCTGCATAAAATACACAGTCAGTGGATTCAAGGCTTTTATTGTCATTCGTTCATAGCTTCAGTGTAGTTATGTCGATGAAAATCTGAGGTCCCAGGCTCCTCCAACAGTGCAACACAATAAAACAGATAAAATAGTGCAAGTAAATACAATAAAATAGAATGGAAGGTGGTGTGTAGGTCACACAGGGCCGTTTCTTCCTATAGGTCAGTGTTTCTCAAACTTGTTCATACCAAGGACCACTTAACCAATAAAAAAACACTCGCGGACCACCAAACTCCACAACTATCCAAAAAACACATCGTTTTTCTAGAACAGATTACAAATCGCCTGAAAATGGTACAAACAAGTGGAAACATGTGTGATGAAGGTGTTGCCCTGGGCTATATCATGCAATCGAAAGTGAAACGTAAGCTCGCTCCATTGTGGAGATATTCCCGCGAGAGTACGGAAAACTTAAATTAATTAATTTAAAATGTGAAATGTTACCAATATACTCACGGACCACTAGGGGGCGCTCACGGACCACCAGTGGTCCGCGGACCACACTTTGAGAAGCACTGTTCTAGCAGTCTGTTGTTGGAGATCTTCTCTGTTGTTGGAGATCCTCTTCCAGTCTGTTTCCAGCCAGCAGTCTCTGTCATTGGCGTCAAACTGGAAACTTGTTCTATGTTGTATCTTTGACCAAATGCATTGTTCAATATAATGTGATTGATTTGAATTGTTGTCATTTTTCACTTCTGTTCACTCTTAATTTTACTTGTAATTTTTAAGATTTCTCTTTGCAAAATAAAAATAAAGACTATTTCAACCAATTACCTTTTATTGTAAGTGGGAAGTCATTGTACAGAATTAACACGTTAACCAAAAAACACAAACTTCAGACATTGATAAGAAAATCTTGAACTCTCAACAACTTATTCTCAGTGTTTAATATCTCCTTGAAGAGTGAAGGATGAAGATGTGTGAATGTAGGAAATAAATGACAGCTCTTAACATCTGTGCTAATAAGAAAAACCCTCCTTTGATCCATTCAGCTTCCATTTGATCCTCAGATTATGGCTGATTTCATGAACTGGAAGGAGAAAAAAATATTATAAATTAAAATATAACCTTATGTATTCCACTCCAGATAAAGGATATTTTCACAGCAGATCAACAGTCAGAGAAACAAAGTAAACAAAATGACTGAGTGGTAAATACAAATTAAACAGGATTGAAATACAAAAAAACAAACGTCTGTATGCACCTAATATGTGTCACATTGTAATAGAATAGAATATATAACTAACTATACATATATGTATATTAATTTCATTTGAGACATCAATATATATCTCTTATTGTGTTTAATTAAACATGTAAATAAATATAAAACAGTGTGATGTTATGTTGAGTGTAGTTACGCAGAAATTCTTAAAATGCATCATTGCAAATAGATAGGTAATTGAATGTGTTAATTTATTTTTTACTAGGACTTCAGTCATATCTTATCTGCAATCTGACAGTCTTAGGCCCCGTTTACACGGAGACGGAAAATAAAATGAACCGAATTCGATATCAAAAAAGTCTTCCGTTCACACGCAATCGGCTCAATAAACGTGTCCGTTCACACGAGACCGCTCGACCCGCTGGAGACGCTGTAGTACATATTCGACCTTGGGACCCGTTATCGTTTGAGGGCTCCATTTCCGCGGTTCCGTTGCGGCCTCGTGTGAACGGACCGTCCACACGATAGAGAGCTGTAGCAGATAACACCCGTTCCGTCCCCGTGTAAACAGTGCCTTAATGATCAGTGACTACCAATCAGATTCGAGCATTGTTGATGAGTAAAATAAAATGGATAGATAGATAGATAAGTAGGCAGATAGGTAGGTAGGTAGGTAGGTAGGTAGGTAGGTGGGTGGATGGATGGATGGATGGATGGATGGATGGATGGATGGATAGATAGATAGATAGATAGATAGATAGATGGATGGATGGATAGATGGATAGATAGATAGATAGATAGATTGATTGATTGATAGGTAGATAGATAAATATTCCCA